TGAGCCCTTATTGTGACACTAGTTGATGTTTGTGATTCCTGAAAGGAGCCACTGGTGGCCCATTTGGTGCTTTGGTGACATTTATGTGATTTCCCCACCTTCTCTAGTGAAACATGTCAAGACATTTTCCTTGTCGTTTTTTTTTTTTTTTTTTCCCTAGGATGACATCCCCAGTGGAAAACAAGAGACTATTGGTCAGGGCCCAGTCAGGAAATCAGAGGCAATCCAAGGTACAGGGTTAAGGAAGGAGAGCTTTCACGAGTTCGGGAACTGCTGGGGAAGTTCAGAGGGAAACAGTGTCTAACCTTGTCCAGCTGAAACCCTCGTGCAGAGTACTTACTGATGGGAACTTGGAGAAAAGCCAATAGTAAGTTATGCAGATGTGGCCCCTAGTAGGTTGTGGAAGGGAAGCTTGAGGCATGAGGTGTAGGAACTGTAGCCTCTTTGGGGCCCAGGGGCTGGGTAAGAACTGAGGGCTGCTCTGGGTCAGCAGAGCCAGCAGTGAGATGATATCACTGCAAAGCAGGAGGCTAGTGAGGGCGTGCTGGGCATCACTGTGTCCATCCACTGGCATGTTTGACCATATGACCCTCCTCCACTTGCCTTCAGTCTTCTCAATTCTGAGAATCACGTATCTGGACAACTTTAGCCCAGAACTATGCAAAGAACGGAATTCTGGGAGCGGATAGCCATGTTGGCAATAGACAACCCAGCTTAGAATCTCCAGTTTTCAAGAAGTATTCTTCTGATGTCCTCTTATAGGGTATTTAAAAAACTAGGGCACTGCTGAAGGAAAGAAATCAGATTAATGTGTCCAAGGCAAAGGGTTACCGTTTAAAGAGTGAATGAACACACAGAGTTATATGACCTGCTAAAATGAAAGATCCAAAAAAACCATGCTGTTCTGATTTGGTACTCAGTAAACGGTGAAATGTTATCAATAGCAGGAAAAACAGCTTTATATTTAATATGATGATGACAATGACACCTGGCAAGGAATATGTTGAGCAGATACAAATTTATTTATTTCTTAAATATATCAAAAGATACAACAGTGACAGGTACACAGTGGAAAGTCTATTAGGACTTTTTTTTTTTTTTTTTACCATTTTAGTAAAAAACTACAAATTCACTATTAATTATTTGCTAGTGGAACAGTTAAAATAACTTGATGGAAAAAAATCCTAGAAAACATATTAATACTGTGCTGGGGGGAAGAGTTTTGTGAACTGGGGATCCTCCCTTTTAGGGGATTATGAGCAAGGGTAGGTGCTGTATAATCAGTAGATGATTTCACTAGATAAGGGCTGTGATAGGGACAAGCACAAATATATCCACATAAGGGGTCAGGGAACATTTCTGGACTTGGATGAAACACCAATCTGTTTGGTGTGGGAGCCTGCTTTCCTACGTTGCCTGTAGAAGATTCTTATGAATATGGCAAGCGTTAGTTCCAAGCATTTTAGATAAGGCTGTGGGGGGCTGATTAAGTGGAGTCCAGAAAGATGGGCCCAAATGAGTGGGTGTGGGGCAGTTCAACATAAAAAGGGGTAAAGCAAGAGAGTGAGGCTATGGAACACAAAAACGGACAGATGGCCAGATGGAGAAGCAAAACCAAGTTTTGTAGGGCCTGAAGCTTATCACATTTTGAGGACTTCATTAAGAAAAAGAACACAAAATTAAGTATAGAAAATTAGGCACAAAAATAAACGTTCTTGGAGGAGGTGACACCTAAGCAGAGAAAGAGCAAGTTCACGGGAGGAGGAAGGGGTTACAGACCTGTAGTTCGAGGAGGACACCTTCTCTGACATATTGTTGGGGGCCCAGGGCTGGGTTGCTGGAAGTCCTGGAGGAGGTGTTGGGGGTAGGTAGGGGGACGAATGCTTACAGGGGGGCTGGAGGGCCTCAGAGAGACCAGATCTTAAGAACGGAAAATCTGCACCCAGTTTTCAGAATTTTCTAGGCCCACGGCACAATGAAGGAAGGCATTGCACCGCCTTGGTGAAAAATCAAATGGGAATACATGAGGTGTAATGCATTTTTTGTCTTGAAACTGAGCAAAGACATGGTTTTATATTAATAGCTGCAAGAAATGGTCAAATTTCCTTCATTCTTTCTAAAAATATTTTATGAAAGCATAAAAATACAACTGTCCATGTTTTGAGAGTCCATGTTTTACATTCTTCTTCTTTTCTTTTTTGTTTTTTTTTTACAGAACTGTTAAGTTCAAAACATGTTTTACTTTCACTTACATATTTACCACTGCTTAAGTATTTATTAAGCACCTACTACTTGCCCCACGTGCTTCTAAGTGTGGGATACAGGAATGAGCAACATAAAGTTTCTTATTTCATGGAGCTTGTAAGAGGAGACAGACAATAAGCAAATAAACAAACAAATATATCATACAACTTGAGCCCACACACCTTGAAGGGCTTCTTGTAGCCCCCGACAGTGGTAGGCATTCTGTCATCTTTCTGCTCTTGGACTTGGATGAAATACCAAACTGTTTGGTGTGGGGTCTGATTTCCTATGTTGTCTACAGAAGAGTCTCATGAATAGGGCAAACATTAGTTTCCGGCATTTTAGATAAGGATGCAGGGAGCTGATTAAGTTGTGTCCAGAAAAATGGGCCCAGATGAGTGGGCATGGGATGATATTCAGCATGAGGCGGGGGAAAAGCAAGAGGGGGAGGCACAGGACACAAAAACTGACAGCTGGCCACATGGAGGGGCAAAGCCAAGTTTTGTAGGGCCTGAGGCTTATCACATTTGTGAGACTTCATTAAGAAAAAAAAAAAATACAAAATTAAGAATAGAAAATTAGCTACAAAAACAAATGTTTAAAGTGAGAAATGCATCACAATAAGTTACACATTTTAAAAGGCTAACAAACACCATAAACTTCAACAAAATACACAAGACATGATATTTTAATAAACTACTTGACACACTTCCAAGACACTATTTACATGTTTCAGTTGCATACCCTTTGATGACTTCTTCAGTTTTCTAAGATATTTTCTATAGGAGCAATAGGAAGTTACTTCACACACAGGTGAACTTGCTTTTTGTTGTACTACTACAGCCTCGTGTTCTTACAAACGTGGGAAATCAGATCATTCATTTCATGTGATTTTTCTTCAAAGATGTATGGTGCATTTATAACGGAATCTGCTGCATTTAGAGTACAGGTACCTTTCTGACAAGAGAGAACTTCCGTTTTGATCAGGTACAGTAGAGAGAGTCAAATCTTCTCTAACAATATTGTGTTTTTTTCTATTTGTTTCGTTTTGAGACAGTGTCTCACTCTAGCACAGGCTAGAGTACAGTGGCTGGGCTGATCAAGGGCTCACTGGAGCCTCGACTTCCCAGGCTCAAGTGATCCTCCCACCTCAGCCTCTAGAGTATCTGGATTACAGGTGTGAGCCACCACACCCAGCTAAATTTTTAATTTTTGGTAGAGACAGGGTTTCACCATGTTGGCCAGGCTGGTCTCAAACTTGTGGCCTCAACCGTTCTGACTGCTTCAGGCTCTCAAAGCGTTGGAATTACAGGCATGAGCCACTGCACCAGCAGATATTAGGTGTTTTATAATGGAAAGAATTACCAGACTAGCTTCCAGTTCTGCCCATCTCAAGCTCTGCTACTCTTTTGCTACTGGAACCGTTCTAGTGTTGGGGAAAGTAAGATAGTTGAGGACACCAATGTGACTCTCACAGAGGGTCATAGGTAGGTCAGTGGTAGCCATTACTATACCTGGATGGCTAGCAACAACACATCTACATAGGAGAACTGTAAACCACATAAATATATCCTGTCATCATGGCCAGGGCTAGGGAGAGGCAAGTCAGGTACCTGAGTCTCAAAACTTAACATTGGCGCTTGCCTGACCCTAAGAGTAAGGGCCCTCTAATTTTTTTATTTTTTGATATTGCCTCTGAATGCTCAATTTGTCATAAATTTTGCATCCTTGACATCCCCCTTATCTCACCTTCATCCTGATTCTGTATCCCATTACACCAAACAACCTGGCTTCTTCAAAATCACTCAATATAAGGATAAGTTAGAGTTAAATAAGACAGTAAACTTAACTGGTGGTGATTAAAATACTTTTGTTTTTCAAAATTTGCAGAAACATATTACCATGTGTGCACATTGCTAGATCTCCCAGCAATGTAAAAGTGTCCTTTGCAAGTCAGGAGTCCTGGATTCAAGCTTCTAACTTCTTGATAAATCCATCACCTGCATTCTGACAATGGCTATACGTTCAAGACTATGTTTATCATACACTCTTATTTTTGCCTCCAGGATTTTAGTTAGAAGCTCAGGTTCTGGGGCTAGACTGTTTGGGTTTGGATCCTCGCACTGCCACTTACTAGCTTGTGAAATCCCAAAACGTTACTTAATATCTCTGTGCCTCAGGTGTTCTCATCTGTAAAATGGCTGTAAGTAATGTTAAGATTAAAATAATTAGTTCATGAAGAGTGCTTATAACAGTATCTGACACATTATGAAAGCTCAGTATTTATTATTGTTATTTTTACTACCACTAGCATCAATATGTGTATTAATAATGTGTGGGTCTTCTCACAGCACACTGTACACCCAGGACTGTTTGTATTCTGATTTGGCTCAGAAGAGCAGTCCTTTTTCTGAATGGACTGTTGACCATATGTAGAAGGAAGGCAGAGAGAGAAAGGAATCAAAGGGAAACGGAATACTTTGTCTCCGAATTATCTTTAAGTAAATGAAGGAATTGGGGCTATAAAAAAATTGCCGGAGCATACATGTATAAAGGTTCACGGCATGCCGAAAGAGAAAGTAAAAGGAGCATTCACAATGGAGTTGGCATCCTTTTGCTTCAAAGTGAGAAAAATCAGACGATCAGCTGCAATTAAGACTTAAGGAAAAAAGCTGTTAATTCAATCTTATTCGCAGGACAGGCCTCCAGGACACTTTATCTTCCCCCCTGGGTGGAGCCCTTGCCGGCCAGGGGCTCCACGGAGAGGATTAGGAGGCGGCTCGGGCTTCCCGGCTTGTGTGGGCGCCAGAAAGCGGAACCGCCCTGGCCAGTCGCGCGGTGGTCACCCTCTCGGGAGCTGGGGAGGAGGCTGTCGAGGCTGGCCCGGCTCCTTCGGGCGCCGCTCCCCGGACCGGGTGCGAGGCGTCCTCCTGCGCGTCTGTTTCGGGTCCTCCCGCGCCCGTGTTCGCAGTCCCCGCCTGCCGGGTCGCGGCGCCGCCTCGGGCGCGGGTGCAGGCGCGCGGCGCGCAGGCTGGGGGCGCTGTGGCCTTGGCGCGGGGACCGAGCCGCCCGGCCGGACCCGCCTCTTTTCCCTCCCCGCCCGCCCGCCCGCCCCCCACGCGTCGTGTCGCCGGGAAGCCGGGCGGAGACAGAGCGCTTGGGATCCACGGCGCTCGGACCGCTGTCCTCCAATCGCGTGGGGCAGAGCGGCTGGCGCCGCCGGAGCGCGGAGCCACGACCCTCCCCGGCCGCCTTTGTCTGCTAGCCGTGCAGCCCGGAACCGCCACTCTCCGGGGCCGGGGACGCGCCCGCAGCTGTCGGTGACAGCTCCTCCCTACCGCCACCCTCCGGGGCGAAGGGGCGGTCGGGCCCGGCCCTGCTCGCCCGCGCCCGCAAGCCCGCACGCCCGCGCTCGCGGATCGATGCCCCCGCAGCAGGGGGACCCCGCGTTCCCCGACCGCTGCGAGGCGCCTCCGGTGCCGCCGCGTCGGGAGCGCGGGGGACGCGGGGGACGCGGGCCTGGGGAGCCGGGGGGCCGAGGGCGCGCGGGGGGTGCCGAGGGGCGCGGCGTCAAGTGCGTGCTGGTCGGCGACGGTGCGGTGGGCAAAACGAGCCTGGTGGTGAGCTACACCACCAACGGCTACCCCACCGAGTACATCCCCACTGCCTTCGACAACTTCTCCGGTGAGCGGGCCCGGGGGCCGGGGCCGGGGGCGCGTGGCCGCGGTCCGTCCAGGGGAAGGAGGGTGGCGCGAGGGTCGCGGGGCTCCCAAGGGGGCTGCAGGGCCCCGGGCGCGGCTCCAGCGGGGAAGCCGGACAAGTGAGGCCAGTAGGACGTTTCCTAAGTGTCAGGGACTGGGCAAGCACGGAGCTAACAGGAAAGGACCATGGGGGAATGGGGAGCCCTACAACCAGAGCTTGGAGAGAGGAGGGCTGAGTGGCAGTCAGAGCCGTTGCCAAAAAAAAAAAAAACCTCACAATTCTCACAATTTAAGCAACAGATAAGCAGGAGTGAAACAGGTTGAGTTCTGGCTGCCGGGTCAGTTTGCTGCGTAGAGCAAAGTTTCCTGAGGGCGACGTCGCTGGCGCCGCTGCAGTTTCAATCAGAAGGTGACGCGCAGGTGCCTTTACCTGAGGGTCGCTCCTTTCCTTTTAGGTGGCTCAGCTCACAAGGGGCGTCTCCACTTTAAAGAGCCGCGGAGACGCCGGGAAAACACTTGATTTAGTGAAAATAGCGCGAGCGGCCCTCGTGAAGGCTTAGGTTTGGATGAAACCTGGAAAGTAAACACCATTTCTCTCTTCTGAGCCCCACCACCTTCCCTGCCCACATGGGCTCGGATTCTGATTGTTGGTATGCTTTCAGGATCCCTTTAAGCTCTTATGTACCGGGTGCGATGTCATTTGCCTTGGTAGATACAAAGATAAAGGAATTCTCTATCTCGATATTCAGGTCTTTTTGAAATTTAAGAAAAAGTTGAAATTCACAGAAGCTAGTATGAAACATTTAACTGTTTCGCTTCTTAAAAGAAAAGGTTGTTTCTCTGACCTTCCTTTCATCCCAAAGGTACCCTAGAGAAATGGGTGCCGTACTGGTGGGTTCCCACCGCAGAGGATTGTGTCTTCCCCTCCCCCACCCCACCCACCCCTGCTGCTGACTAGTATAAACATTGAGAAACAATTAGAAAGTTGTGTAGAAAGAGACAAAATTGACTGCTTAATTAAAATAGAAACCTCCACGACATGTCCTGCTGCAGGCCTCTCCACACTCCCCGACTCCCGGAATCCCAGTGGAAAGGTGGGCACGGCTTTCTTTTTTCTTTTTTAATCCTCCTTTTGGCCTGACATAGAGATAAAGAGTGCCCTCACTTTTAAACAGGACAATGCGGGCAGCCTGTGTTTGCACATGTTCTCAAAACAAACTGGAATTTTATGATAAACCCTGAAGTTGGGGAACCTTTCCCAAGGGAAAACAATCATTTGTGAGGTTTTCCACTGATTTAAAACTGCAGGGTTACTTCCCATGTACCCCCAGTGTTGTTTTTAGGTCCTTTGAAACAAGTGTGACAGGAAAATAAATCTTCAGGACTGGGAGAAAAGCATAGGCCTTTCTGGGGGCACCATCAAAGGGTTCAGGGATTTGCTGCCTGTTTTGTGGTGGTGGAGTGACTCGCCAGCGCTGGGTTTGTATACAAAAATGCCTCCACAGGGCCTCCTTGTTTTAGGCTAGTCCTTAATTCATTAGAGGACCTAGAATAGGAGCAGAGGTGTTTGGAGTGAGAATGATCGTGAAAGCTAAAACTATTAGTATTCCACAAGGGGTTAAAAGACACCTCCTGATTGTCATTTGGGTTTTGTTTTTAAGCGGTGGTGTCTGTGGATGGGCGGCCCGTGAGACTCCAACTCTGTGACACTGCCGGACAGGTCAGTATCATGTTACAGCTCAGTGCTGGGAAAGGAAACAGCCTTTTAAAGATTTCCAAATAACCTTTGATTCCCCCAGTCAGTAACTAGGTCATTCGAAAGCCTCATGAAGTGGACCCACCCCTGCTGTTGGCCCCTCTCTGAGGGTGGGCAGGGGCCAGGGGTTGGCGGGCAGGAAGCAAAGGAAGACACCTCCAAACTAATAAAGCAGGATTTGGCCCAGCTCTGCATAGCCAGGCAAGGGAGGAAGCATGGTCAAGAACAGCTCTTATCTTATAGGAGTTTCTATTATTTACTACCTAGTTTTTATGAAAAAGTTTCAGTGATGCTTTGTCGTCATTTCCCAAACTAAGTTAGTGATATCTTACAATCATTTTATTAAAGGCCAGCGAGTCAGATATTTAAGAAATTTGCTCAAGAAAAAGATAGAATTTACATCAGTAAGGGTTAATATTTTCCTTCCTGAGCTATGGTTTGACTCGCTAGGACCAGCCCCATCCCTTGAAGCACGGATACACTTGTCAGAGCAGTCCTCAGCTGGAGGGATGAACTAACTGGGCTTATTCTATCCAAATTGTGAACGCTTTGTCTCAAGGGTTGGGCACTTGGAGGAAATAGCCAGGGAGTGTAGGATTCCCTCACTGTGTTCCCCAGAAGAACCCCCGCCCCCCTTGGTGGGTACTCGAGTCACTGAAGTCAGGCTGTGCTTGTGAACACCCAGGGGTACTTGATTTTGGCAAAGTGATAGTTAATGAACTTGTCTCTCTAGTATGTTCTAGAGTTCAGCAAAGTTCCGGGGGTACTTTGTAGGCAGGTGAAAGTGCCCCTTCACTTTCTGAGGTGCCATGGCATGACTATCTATGTTTATGAAGGCATTGGCTTGCCACTGCCTCCCGGAGCCTCATCTAAGCCACAGCTTCCAAGTTGCTCTCCTACTCTGGGACAGCAGATTGAGAGCTGAGGACAGATCTTATTTTTTTAAACCTCAAGATGACATAAGACCGGGGAGCCTTGATCTCCAAGGAACACCAGGCTGGTGGAGGCCATAGCTTGGCAGTATGTCAGCTTGGAAAAACCAAGCGCTGTCTGTGTTCTATCGTCTGTAGAAAACAAAAATCAGGCTGGGTGTGGTGGCTCATGCTCTTTGGGAGGCTGAGGTGGGAGGATTGCATGAGGCCAGGAATTTGAGAGCAGCCTGGGTAGCATAGCAAGACATCATCTCTACAAAATAAAAATATTAGCCTGGTGTGGTGGCACTGCCTGTAGGCCCAGCCACCAGCCACTCAGGAGGCTGAGGTGAGAGGATCGCTTGAACCCGGGAGTTTGAGGCTGTACTGTAGTGAGCTATGATAGTGCCACTGCACTCCAGCCTGGCTGACAGAGCACGCGAGATCCTGTCTCTTGGAGAAAAAAAAAAAGAAAGAAAAATCAAAGAATACCATCACTTCTAGTACTGATATCTTTCTGAATGCCATGGTGGTGTTTATAATTCAAACTCATTTCCTTGTATGAAGTGAGAATGCTTTGCCTACCAGCGGGTCAGGTTTTCTGAGCTTTAAAACATGGGTGGCCGGTCGCGGTGGCTCATGTCTGTAATCCCAGCACTTTGGGAGGCTGAGACGAGTGGATCACGAGGTCAGGAGTTCAAGATCAGCCTGGCCAAGATGGTGAAACCCCGTCTCTACTAAAAATACAAAAATCAGCTGGGTGTGGTGGCGGGCACCTGTAATCCCAGCTACTCAGGAGGCTGAGGCAGAGTTGCTTGAACCCGGGAGGCGGAGGTGGCAGTGAGCCAAGATCGCGTCACTGCACTGCAGCCTGGGTGACCGAGTGAGATTCTGTCTCAAAAAGAAATAAATAAATAAAACACGGGCAGAGGGACATTTCAGTAAACATAGCCATCTGACCTACTGAAGTCAGACCCTGAAGATAAGATGGAAGTCAGGAAAACACAGGAAGTCCAAAGGCACAGTTAGCAGGGAGCCTTATAGGTGGAGCAGAAGCTCAGTGCACCTACCTGCCCCAGGATGTCACTCAAATACCACTGTCCACTCGACTCCCCATAAGTGTTGACTCTTCAAGCAGGATGCAGCTTCTGGAGCTGGGGTTTTGTGCCCAGTGCCCAGCAGAGTGATAGCAGGGCTTAATCTCGTGGTTTTGGAATGGATGAACCAGAGGAAGACCAGGTGGTGGGGTGCAAACATAAGTTGTGGACCTGCTCCTTAACAGACTTACAGTGTGGAGGAAAAAGACACACTAGTTTATGGAAGCTTGTGAAGAAGCAAGCGAAGGGAGGAAAAGAGGCTCAGGCTCAGAGGTGCAGGCTGGTTGGGCCTGGCGGGAAAACCTCTGAGCAGAGTTTTGAAAGACAAATAGGAATTTTACCAGAAAAACTTTGCAAAAATGACTCTGAATCATCAAGGAAGAGTTAAATTGTTCCTTAGTACAATCTGTGTAAAAATCAGGAAAGCACAAGCATCACTTTAGAAGTATTTTTACACAAAAAAGTTATAATTAAGGAAAAACGAAGGTTTTGGTACTACATTTGTAAGTTTCAGTTTATTTGGAAATTATTCTTCTGGCCCCTCAACAATATTTTCAATGATATTTACTGTATTTCTTAACCTTTGTGTACTGGTTAGAAGAGTACATCCGATTAAATAATGAATAAGACCACCATCGAAAAATTTGTAGAAAACCAACTTCGAAAACTATAAAAAATTCACTGCTGGTAAGATAAGTCAGGTATTTGTGGTTTTGTTTTTGTTTTCCTGATCCCCCATTTATAAATTAGTCTTTATTTAGACTACTAACCAAGCTGGTCAAAATGGCAGTTCTTTTCTACTCTCCCTAGTCCTGACCTGATAAAATACATTTTAGGGGACTCGCTGTGATACCTGCCATGTTTTGTTATGGAGGAAGGAACACATACGTCTTCTAGGCAGTTGACATGACAGCCTTGAGGGTTAAGTGACTCCACTGACCTCCATTTCAGATGCCTGGAGAATCAATGTGAGCACAGATAGGTTGGAATTTGGGGATGTGGAGCTGGAGAGTGGGTTTCCCAAAGGAGTTGATGGGAGCAGAGTATGGATGGCTCTACAGGCGGAATAAATCACTTCTTGTACCTTTGGCTTTTCATTTTAGGGAGGGTAGGTGAGTCTATAAGATGTCAAAAGGAGTTTTTAACACTGGGCTTCCAGTCTCACTCAAGGGCAGATCGATCAGAGACAGACTGGAGACTTGAAAAAACATACCTTTGGCAGAAGAGAAAAAAGTATTGCTGAAATAGGAGTAGTTCACTGGAGAATTGCCAATAGAAGCTGAAAATTCTTCAGCCTTTTGACCCATAAGGTACTTGGAAAAATCTTATACTGGAAAAAAAAATCAAGTTGCAGCTAGACCAGAGGGGTGTAGAATCCAGTCTCGTCTCTACCCTGCCCACCCTGATCAGACTCCTGTGCAGTGTCTGTACCACAGACCTGGCAGGCACGTGCAAATTGCTTGGCCTCAGAATGCCTTTTCCTAAGGGTGCATTCCACTTGTCCTCATTGCACGTGTATATTGCATTATTCCATCAGATATCTAAGGTTTCTGGTCAGGCGCTGAGCAGGAGGGTCTAATTTCTGTTTTATTTCTCAAGCCCCTTAGCCAGAATCTCAAGAGATCTGGGGAGATAGCTTTCCAAAGCCCACTCAGAAGGCCCAGCCCTTGTGCTTGCCTTTATTTTTCTCAGTAATGCAACCCCAGATACCAGGGCACGGCCAGGGGTGCAGCTACCTGAGGGGGCTGCCTTAATACTGGTCTCAGTTTTATACTTCTTTCTTTGAGGCCCTCTAAGAACAAAGGGAGCATTCCATTAAAAGATCTTCGGAACTGGAGCCATAGTCTACCTGGCTGTGTTTCTGTGTTTATTTATTCATCACAAAGTTGGCATGAAGAAACGTCATTCTTTTCTTTTTAAAAATTTTTTTAGAGAGAGGGGTCTTGCTGTGTCACCCAGCTGGTCTCAAACTGCTGGGCTCAAGTGATCCCCTGATTCAGCTTCGCAAGTAACTGTGACTATAGGCACATGCCACCACACTTGGCTAAGTCATTCTTTTTCAACTTTCGCTTACAGAAGCCTCACAAGTGACATTCTGAAATGCCATATTGATTGTTGAACATTTTAGCTGGTTGACTTTAATGTGATTAGTTGGTCAGCTGTCGTCCCGTAATTGAAACATGGAGCCTCAAATGAAGAAAGTACATTCAAATAAGTTACAGGTTTATTTTATACCAAGAGAAAAAAGCCACGGTTGGAGAATAATGTAGATGTAGATAGTACTTGGTAAATCATCAGAGTGTGTCAATTGAGTAATGAAAAACATGAGTGCCATTGAACTTTTTCTGGTCATTGGGAAATTATTTATACCTGAGGATGGTTGGCACCAACAGATACACATTTTAAATGGGAAAGAGTAAATATTTTTCTACAAAAGAGTTGAGCGAAAGTTTTCAGTTAGATGAATATGGTGCTATAGGGAACTGTAGGGTGTTTTCTATAAAGAAATGGTAATTTGGAGACCAACATCTCTCTGTTCCCAACCAAATCCCTTCGTCTGTCACTGTGCCTTGAGTGGAGGTGATGTTCAGTGTGTCTGTTAAATGGATGACTGCGGGAGAGCATTGGCAGCGCAACCGTTGGTTTATTTGTAATCAACTCTAACTTCACCCATCCACTTCTCTGTACCTTAAGGGTAGGGTGAGCATGCCTGTTCTCCAGCTCATATCTGTCCAAAGCACTGTACACGGAGGCCATGGGTATTGGCAAGGATAAAGGAAGTAGGAGAAAATGTAGGAAGGAGGGAGGAAGAGAAGATACAGCCAGAATGAGGATGTATTAACCAGTGTCTGTATGTGGCATTGAGAAGCACAAGTTTTCTGAGTCACTGATGACCGTGGACTGACAAAGGTCCCCAACTCCATGTCTGGTCTGGCCTTGCGTCTGATTATCGTTACTCCGCGTTGCTGTGCATGGTGTGGACGGAGCGTGTGCACAGTGCAGATGGGATGAAATCGGCGTCACTCAGAGCTGTTGTGGGGACAGGCAGGGCTGGACTGGTAAAGAGAGGAGCTGTGTTCATAGACTGGGGTTGAGTGGGAGTCTTGAGGATCAGTGGTCTGAATCTTAAAAGAGTAGCTACGTACCAAGAATTGAGAATAAGTTTGGGTTACACTCAGCTGAAGGCTTGAGTCCATTTTACTTCTAGAACCCACCTGCTTTGAGCACTTTTTCTATGTGAAGCTGCAAGTAGGTCTTCAGTGTCAGTGAACACGGTGAACGTGTTTGGCAGTGTTCAGACCATAGCTGGCCCTGAAAGCGGATGGCTGCCCCACCTTTGCTGGTGCGCTAGCCCCACTTGGGTAAACAGTAGGATTGTTTCAAGAATGCTGGCTCTTCCTTCTAGAACCAGTGGGTCTTCTGTCACCTGCCAGACCCTTTCATGAAAAATGTGAAGATGATCTTTTTACTGATGAGAATTCATTAAAAAAATAACTTTTGGGCACTTTGCTTGGTTGCAGGATGAATTTGACAAGCTGAGGCCTCTTTGCTATACCAACACAGACATCTTTCTCCTCTGCTTTAGTGTTGTGAGCCCCTCATCCTTCCAGAATGTCAGTGAGAAATGGGTGCCGGAGATTCGATGCCACTGTCCCAAAGCCCCCATCATCCTAGTTGGAACGCAGTCGGATCTCAGAGAAGACGTCAAAATCCTCATTGAGTTGGACAAATGCAAAGAAAAGCCAGTGCCTGAAGAGGCAGCTAAGCTGTGCGCTGAGGAAATCAAAGCCGCCTCCTACATCGAGTGTTCAGCCTTGACTCAAAAAAACCTCAAAGAGGTCTTTGATGCAGCCATCGTCGCTGGCATTCAATACTCGGACACTCAGCAACAGCCAAAGAAGTCTAAAAGCAGGACTCCAGATAAAATGAAAAACCTCTCCAAGTCCTGGTGGAAGAAGTACTGCTGTTTCGTATGATGCTGGCAAGACACCCAGAAAGGCTATTTTCAGATGAAATCGATATTAGTGGCTATATTAGCTGAAACAACTTCTTTTACTGTGTAGAACCTATATCGAGAGTGTGTGTTTATGTATTATAGGAGGAGCTCTCAATTTTATGTATTCTTTCTTGCCTTTAATTTTCTTGTTGTTTGTTTGAGCTTAGGGATGAAATACTTATGCAAGATATTTTTGAAGTAAATTAAAATTTTTTCACATCTCTGGAAAGTTAGAGTTCTAGACCTCTGGTTAATTTATATCTAATATGAAGAAGACACCTCAAATCTGGATGTCAAGAATGAAGCTCTGCTACATTATAATGTACAGAAGAGCAAAAGGGAGGAACGCTATGGTTAACCCTCTCTTGATTAAGGGCTACTTAATGCACAGTGCATTATGTACACAGGTCAACCATGGTAAGAACAGTTCTTAGCTTTGAAATTCCATGCAAACCATGCCTTTTTTTTTTTTTTTTTTTTTTTAAAGGAGCAAAAATCTGGGAAATAAATGAGAGACCTCTGCCTACAAAACCTCAAACCAGTCACTTTTGTCATTTGCTAATACCCATTGCTTATGATTTAAAAACAACGGGCAAAAAACATCCCACTGACTCTGGCACTGTGTAGACAAAAAAGGAGACTTGCTGATTGGGACTTTTCTTTCTTAGACCAGTTGTGTTGACACATACGAACATAGGCAAAGTGCTGTGTGGAGGAAAGCAAGTGTTAGTCGGGAGTTCTCATGTTTTAGGGAGTGGTTCCTGTGGAGATCAGAAAGTGACATTTGCTTTCGGTACTGTAACACATGCACCAAGCTGCCTCCATCCTAGGTAACAACGGCAACAGGGAGCACCTATCTGGATTGTTTTTAAACTTCCATACTCAAGCTGTCTCTTCGGCAGGGAGGTGAATACTCTTGAAAGGCCAACAGCAAATGTCTGTGGGACACAACACAGATCATTTTTTCTTAAGTCAGCCAAGATGTACTTCTCTGTGTGCACACCCACGCACACTCATGCACACAGATACATAGGTCTGTATGGCTGTCTTTGCTGTTGATTCAGACTTTTACACAGTTAATGGGGAAAGCATGGCCACAAACACAGATGTTAGGGAAGCTTGGCTTCCTCTTTTTGTTGACACTTTTTTGAACCAACATCTTTTTTATTATATTCAGAGTATGTTTTTAAGTGTATCTTAATATATATTTTTGAGGACATCTTAAAACTAAACAAAAAATAAAATGAACATCTCTTGAAACCTGTCAAAACAACCAGTTAAAGCCACAGATGGCTTTCAGGGCAGTAGCAGCAGACGCCAGCGGACTCTGAGGACTCCTGAGGGGCGGGGCGTGTGGCCAGCCAGGTGCATGTCGGGACCCTGGCCCCCATGCTTGGCTGCTTCCTGTGACAGTGAAATACATCCTTCAAGGTGGCAGCTTTTAGGGCTGAATCTTCTGGAGAAAATGTGCCATCTCAGGAGAGTAGTTTTTACTCTGGTAGGAATGCTTCCGAGACACCACAAGGCAGCCTAAACACTCTGAGTTAACAGTGTCGGGCTTGCGGTGGGTGAACCAGAGCCACCAAAGTCACTTCCACAACTAACGAGGGAAATCTGTAAAGCCAGTTAGATAGAAGAGTTTTATTTTTCTGTGGGTTTTGTGTTGTCTTTTTTATATTAAAAAGAAATCCAGTTTGTGTTTTTCTATAGAAAAAGTAAAAGTTCAGGTTATACTTTAGGTTAGGGGTTCTCTTTATTCCTGTTAGTAAATAAAATTAACAAATTTCTTTGTTTAACAAAAGATTAATCTTTAAACCACTAAAATACATAGACTGTTAACTATTGATTATTCAACACATTGGAATTGATGTCGGTCATAGTTTCCTGGAGCATTTAGTTACAACCTGAAGGAATAAAATGATTTGTGGAAAAGCTTAAAATAGACCTAATCGTATACAGTCTCATCTTGCCGTGCCTGGCTTACCTATCTGTGGAAAGCTAGGCTTCCCAGGCTGGGCTCTGCCTGTCTGGTGTCCAGAGGTGTGGGAGGGAAGATGAGTTATTTAACTGGTAAACGATTTGAAACACTATTTTTATATTAAAGTAAATAGCATGGAGTATAGTGCGAATTCATTTTTAAGATAGAACACAACACTTGAAAGAAGTTTTATGCATGTGACAGTATATGGGGCTGCAGTTGGTCTCCCTGGAGGGGCCTTCCACACCTCCTGCCTTTAGGCCACGGGTGGAAAGTGCTTAGTGAAGCACACCTGTGTGGCCCAGTTCTGAAAGCTTTATGCAAACAGTTGAATTTTAACTGGGGTTGATAACTCCTTGGACTGTTAGTGTTAAAAATCTAGTGGGTTGACCTTTAAATGCAACAGTTTTTAAAATATATTGCTGCATTTTATAGAATAGTAAAGGTACGATTATACTTGAGATTTTCCTCCATTTTTTTTTATTTGTGAACATAGTTTGGGGCCGAAAATGTTTTTAAAGTATGTGCTTGAGTTAAATATAAAGTTGGTTTGCTTCAAAGCTAAAAAATTGTTAAATTTGCAGCTTGGTATTGCAGAGAAGATTTTATAAAAATTTTGCTTTAGAGAATGCCACTTTGGCTGAACTACAAGTGTAGGCCACCGTTATAATTTAAAAATACAGCATACTTCAAAACTGTTTTCTCTTGTTACCATGTATGTATAAATGGACCTTTTATAACCTTGTTCTGTGCTTGACAGACTCAAGAGAAACTACCCAGGTATTACACAAGCCAAAATGGGAGCAAGGCTTTCTCTCCAGACTATCGTAACCTGGTGCCTTACCAAGTTGTGCTTTTCTGTTTTCAAGTGTAAACGATGTTGAGCAGAATGTTGTACTTGAAAATGCTATAAATGAGATGGTATGAAATAAATTCTGACCTATGGAAATAATGACTCTTGCCTTTTCTATCAAAGAATTTTGTTGGAGGTGTTTAGCCACATCTTGAAGAAGCACTAGTTGGGAGGCATTGTGACATACACTGAGAGGCGTTCTGGGAATGCATCTCCAACCAATTTGAAGTGCTAATTCATTCAGCATGGGGTTCTCTGAATTCTGGAGCCACAGTCTGACAGTAAGCACCCGCTGACTACATGTTCCTCACAGATTGTGTGCTGATGTCCCAGTGTGTTGGAGGGAGCACTATTCTTGGAGCCAAAAGTCCGGGCTCAGAGAAGCACTAGTGTGGGATGAAGCTGAGACAGCCAGGGATCTGAGCCTCAGTTTCCTCATCTGGAAACAGTACTGCCTTTCTCACTGGGCTGTCTGAATCCTGAACCTGCAGAGGAGACATCCAAGATCTGTAAATCACCTGAAAGAGGTAAAGTCAAAGGCACCGTGAGCCCTTACCAGCCATAGAGCTGAGGACCAGGGTTCCCAGGTCCTGAGGGCGCCGAGAGGTGCTGTTGTGTTCTGTGTGATTTCTTCAGTTTCTTGAAGTCAGTCTTCTCATCATGCCATGAGGATGCAGCCCTTGTACTGAGGGTTCCAGGAAATGGGACCCTGGGGAGACGACTATTCTGAGGGGCTGGAAGTTTCTTGCTTTTACCCTCCAGCCTCAAGGTCATCCTGTGAAGGATGGAGCCATGCACTTTGCTCCACATGGCGCTGCACAGACCATGATACAACTTTTAGGAGTACCCACTGGATGTTCAGCCACAATGAATGGGAAGACTGCATGGCATACAACTAAAACTACTGTACCACCTAATTCCACACGTGACTGGGGGGTGCCGAAAGCACCCCAGGCGCTGGTTTCCCGGCCTCCACAGGGCAGCTGACCCCAGCCCAGAGGGACTCAGAGGTTTCTCCACACCCAGTCCCAGGCTGTCTCCCTTGTCCTGGCCGGGCCTTCCTGGGACACATGGACAGAGCATCCAGCCACTGTAGAGGAGGTGACCATGTGCTACACCAAGGCATTTGTGGATTCAAAGGGAGTGAAGGAATGAGAAGTATCTGGGAGAGAAGTGTTTTAAAAGGAAAGAAGGTTCCAAGGCCCCAAGGCAGAAGGGCATCTGGTATGTCCCAGAGGCCAGTCTGAACAAGATAAAAGGAGTGCAGGGAGAGATAGGGAGATGATGTCAAGATGGTGATAATGGGAGGTGATGGTGGCAACCAGGGACATGGGTAGGAGTCAGGCTGCTTGGGCTTGAATTCTGGCTCTGCCACTTACTGGTTCTGATTCCTTAAGCTCCTTAGCCTTTTAATGCTTCTGAGTCTAAACAACTTTCTAACCTCTCAAGTGGATAAGCATGGCACTTACCCAATCAGCCGATGCTTTCATCCTCTGATCAAATGAGGTTATGGATGTAAAGCGCTGGTACACAGTAAGCACTCAGTAAATGCTCACTCTGCATGGTCTTCCTAGTAGACCCCTTTCAATGATTCCTTTAATTTCCTTCACAGCAGGACCCTCAGTCCAAGAGCTCGGGTCCCTGTGGGCATCCCACTGAGATGACAATTGATTCCTAAGGATTTCCATCTTCATTTCTATTAAATTTTATGAGGCTTACACTTTTAATGGGTAACCGCACATTCATTTTTTTTCATTTCCACTAATTTTATAAAATCAGAGCAACATTATATAGATCACACTGCTCGTTGCACAGGCTGGCTCTGTGGAACAAAGCTGCCGCAGCTGCTGCTGCTGACCTGGTGGAACTGTCGGGGGCGGCCCACCTCTCTGAAAACTGACAAGTGAATCCTGCAGATGGTGAAGCAGGGAGCTGTGAATTCGGTGTACAAAGGTAGTTTAGAGAGTCAGTAGGCAAGATTGTGACCCAGGCATCATGTGGAAGTCACGGATCTACCGTGTTCCTCAGCCCTGTGCTGGGCTGTCCCTTGACTCTTGTCATGCAAGAAGCTCTTGCTGCAGACTGGCACATTCTTACATTTTTACAGTCTTCATTTAACAGCCCGAGTCCCCCAACCACAGTTTCCCCTGTTATCTGGTGTGCAATACTAACAATAAAACCAAGTCTTGAAGAGGCACGGAGTGCACATGAAAGATGCATGTGGTTGGGAACCCAACATTTATCTTTAAAAAGAGAAGACTTTCTGGAGCAGAAGATCCCATTGCCCTTTGCTGCTTTCCTCCTAAATGTCCCACAGGTACTTCAAACTTAACTCATTGTATTAGCTTCCTTCGGCTGCTATACGTTGTTTAAAGCAACACAGATTTATTACGTTACGGTCTGGAGGTAAGAAATCTGATATGGGTCTCATTGGCTAAAACCAAGAGGTTGGCAGGGCTGGGTTGCTTTCTGGAGGCTCTAGAGGGGAATTGGTTTTCTTCCCTTGAATTTGGGTACCAAAAATGTTGATGTGAATATTTTACATTTTTACCTGGCTTTGCATGAGATGGAGAAGCATTCTCCATATAGCAGCTTCTAGCATTTCCTCTCAATCCAACAGCAAGCGGTATAACATCAACGTGGCATATGCTGATTGTCACTTTGGAAAACATTCCCATGAGGGCATGTATTCTTACAGTCCAAGCATGCTGTTTTGGGTGTATTCTTATAGTCCAAACTTAAAGCATAAATAGAACTTAGACATTCTAGTATATCCCTTAGTACACAAGCTTTTGGAAATATCCATTGCATTGGTCACTCTTTGACAGTTACTGGATAATAGCTGGTTCAGGGTTTCACTTTAAGACAAGTATCAGTATTGTAAGTGGCTGTTGGAAAAACAGTTCATGTGCTTCAGGAGTAAATATAAGAAATGATTTTACCATGAAAATCAGAAAGATTGACTACTCTTTGTGCTCCAGTTTGTCATGGACTTAGACTATACCAGACCCAGCTGACTGAGTCAGAATTCTGTTTTGAATCTGCTCAAGTATCTCTACTAAGAGATACTCAATAGGAACTTAGGACTGATGTATCTAAAATGTCACCAACCACAGCAGTATCAATTGAAATAGTTAGACTGGCTTGACTCATGTATTTATCAAAGGTTTTACTGGTTAAAAAACATACAGAAAAGTCATCTAGAACTCCCTAACTTCTCCCTACTCTGAGTGTCCTCCCCCTGTGTCCCTTCTCTCTCCTGGCTCTTCCTGGGTTCCTATGTTTACTCTGAGATAAAAATCTCAGAACAGACCATGAAGCTAGGAGGGCTGCACATAGGCTATTATTGTGCATTAATGATCTAAAACCAGACATAGTAACTGATGAGTGGATTTGCAATGCATTAATTTATCTACACAATTTACCTCCTTTATTACCTTATTTCAGCCTAAGGGATGAGAATGAAGCGGAGTCATTATATGAGTAATTATTGCCTTTGTGACAAACTTAAATGATTTTTGTGGTTGGCCCTTGTGTGGCTGAGAGCCTACCGAAAGTTAGACAGTCCTCTATGTCACCAGCCACATGGTTAATCGGCCCAGTTGTCCTACTCAGTGCCCCTTTCTTTACACTGGCTCCTTTTCTAAATCGCTTCACCATCACCCCCAGAACTGATCAGGTACTGCTGAAAGCCAAGTGTTTCTATTTCCAAATGGAAATGGTAGAAAGGGATCAATTATTAATCAGGCTAATAATTATTTAGGTAAAGCAATGAACATTTTTTCTTATAAAAATGTTGATAGAGGAGACCAGGAAACAGTGAGGGCTTGTAAGTGAAGAAATGTTTCAATAAATATTATAATACCTGAAATTTATGAACCACATTCATTTATTGGGCATGAAAAATATTTTACCAATTGCCCTAGCCTGTCTAAATCTCCTCTTGACCAAGTTGTGATGTAAATGAATAAATAAATATATCACCTCTTCTAACCTCACACTGTACATGTGGATATACATAGGATTGGTTGCTATTATCCTTAATTATTAGAGAGAGAAACAAAATGACTAATTTGCTAAGGAACTTTGCCTGAGGTAGGTAGAACTATTACTCCTTGAGGATATTTTAAGCCTTAATTTCTCTTCTCCCTTTCTGCTCTTGTGTAGAGAGGATATAGAGGGACTCTTTAAAACCTCCAGTAGAGATACACCAGTTTAGCTGTTGCTGTGTAACAAGCCACCCCAATACTTAGTGGCTTAGAGCAACAGCTACTTATCTTTCTCGTGATCCTGTGAGTGGACGGGGCTCAGCTAACCACTTCTTTTGCCTCAGTTGTACCTGTGTGGTTGAGGGATAATGTGCAGCTCAACTGGGGTGAACCATCTAAAGGCTTCCACCTTCAGAGCTCCCTGCCTGTGCCCTCTCATCTTCAGTAGTCTAACTGGAGTTTCTTTATAGCATGGAGACAAGACCGACTTCACAACAGAGTGTACCACGAGAGGCAGCTCCAGTGTGCAAGGGTTTACCAAGCCTCTGTTTACACCCTGCTTGTTAATGTTCATGGGTCAAAGCCAGACCTAAAACCAAGCCCAGAGACAAGGTGTGTGGGGGTGGGGGAAGAAGTTGCACAAGTACATGAGCCCTGGGCAGTACGTTTGCTTGGGCCTGCCAAGTGGATTCAAGTTGGAAAGGGAGACAATGGCTGCTAGGGTTGGTGCACTCCATTGCTCATGTCTATCTTGGGTGAAGAGAGGTGGATCATACATATTATTGTGCAGGTGGAGAATACAACTGGTTTAGAAGTCAGGGCTTTTGGTGGTAAAAGGTGTATCGGTCACCTTTATTCTTTTAGTCAGTGTCTGACTATTCAAAGGGTGAGAAAGCATGTTGTCTAAACTGCTGAATCTTGCTCCTCTATAGGGAGAGTGCACACTTCAGTGAAGGAAAATTGGCACCCTGCTGAATGAGCAGAGGCAGCTGGCTGAGATAGAGGTTGGATGTTTCTTTAGATGGCAGACCTACACTGTAGAATGGACAGAATTCAGCTTTCACTTGGACAACTGGAACAACATAGCACCCTGGATATAGGAAGCCCTTT